TATGACAAGGGCACAATTAATCAAGAAAGTCAATCCTAAAATTGTTCTTTCAATCCGAGTGGGAAGAGGAATGGTTGGCGCAGAAATTCCCGTATTATTAGAAGATATGTCATTTTCTGGACTTATAAGAGTCAAACTAAAGTTGATGAATGCTTTTCCACACATGAAATCAGTCGACATCAGTTTCTTGGAAGAACCAAAATTTGATTACGTTTTAAAACCAATTGGAGGAGAGACATTTGGTTTCGATATAGCAAATGTAACTTAATGATTTTCTCCTCGTGTTTGTATTTATACCTTTATAGTAAACCAAATTTCTTTTTCCTTTAATTAGCTTCCTGGATTGTCTCCTTTTATCCTTGATCAACTTCATGCTACACTTCGTCCAATGATGTATGCTCCAAACGTTTTTACATTAGATACAGAACTTCTCATCGGAGGTTACCCAATAGGTAACTATAAATAATATGTGGGTTATTTTGTAATTGATAAATATTTATTTGTAATATTTTCATTCTATTTTTATGGAGATTCTGCAATTGGTGTTCTCAAACTTAACATACATAGTGCAAGGGAAATAAGAAATGTGGATAGGTTTGGTGCTTCTGATCCTTATGTTAAATTATCAATTCATGGACATCAAGAACTTGCTAAGACTAAAGTTATTGATGATTCATTGGATCCTATTTGGAATGAAACGCATTTCTTGATCTTATCAACTTTGAATGAAGTTTTAAGATTTGAATTATGGGATTTTAATGGCCTTGGTAAAGACAAACCGCTTGGAATAGCTACTTTGGAATTAAAGACTTTATTAACAAACCCAGATCAAGAAAATACGTAATATTACTTTTGTTGTGATAATCTCCATTTTATTTGGTCGTAATTTTATTAAATATTCCATTTTTACTATTTAGCACATCTCCTATTTTATATGAGGGTAAACCTCATGGAGAAATACAATTTGACGCAATCTGGTATCCTGTAGCTGAGATCAAAGATGAAGAGCCAATTGAATCAAGTATATAAGTTTTCTCTATGCTTAAATTATGACGAATTTTGTGATTTCAATAGAATTATGTTTAGTTAATCACTTTTTTTTTTAAAAAAAAAAAATAAACAGATGTTGGAGTTTTACGTTTTAATATTCATCAAGCCAAGGATCTTGATCCTAGTCGCTCCCTAGTTGGCCAATACAACCCATATGCAGAATTGCTTTTGAACGGAAAATCTGTTTTAAAAACTAAAACATTAAAAAGGACAAACAATCCTGTTTGGGAGGTAGGTAAAATTTTTTAAGGAATTTAAAAAGCTTTGCAAATATTTGATTAATTTATTTTCCAATGATAGGAACCAGTTGAAATGTTCATTACTAATAAAGCTCGAGCTAAGATAACTATCATCATTCGTGATGGGAGAGACTTGGCCGCTGACCCAGTTGTTGGCAAATGGGAATCCACTTTGGATCGATTTTTAGAAAATATGAAGGAAAGAATGGACTGGTTTAATGTAACTGAAGCTAAAAGTGGTAAATTAAGATTAACTTGCCTATGGAAACCTGTGATAATGGATCATATTCCTGGACATAATGGATATGGTATTTAGAGAAATTATAAAATATAACCTGTTTATCAGATTTAAACATAGGATGAGTCAACTTGAAATTTTTTTCATAATCTAGTCGAACCATGTGGATTTGTAAGGCTTCACATTAAGCGTGCCAACAAATTGAAGAACGTCGCTCAATTAAGAGGTATTATATAATGACCATACAACATCTTTATTAAATTTATGCATTTTAACTATAACTAAATATTTGAAAATTATTTTCTTCAGGAAAATCCGACCCTTACGTGAGCGTTTTGTTGGATTCTAACTTTCGTGGACGCACAGATAAGATTAATGATAACCTAAATCCTGTTTGGGATGAAGTATTCTATATACCTGTACATAGTACAAAAGAAACGTTGATTCTTCAAGTATGGGATTATGAAAATAATGCTAAAGATAAGAGGTTAGGTTTCGCAAAATTAGAAATTTCCAAATTAATTAATCAACAAGAAGATGGAACAATCGAAGCTGCTGAACCTATTGATACGTAAGTATATAAAATCTTGTATGTTGTATATGATTTTATTACATACAATATTGTATTTAAACGTTTTACCTTAATATATATAGATCATCACCTGTGCTGCTTATTGGTGAACCCAAAGGTTCAATTGATTATTTAGCAGCTTTTTATCCAACTGTCAAGGAAAAGAAAGTAATCTCTTCAACTAATGTTAATAAAGAAATCACTGAAGACAAAGGATCCGAGAATATCAATGTTTTGGAATATCGTATGTTATAGAGTATATTTCTTATATTTACATTCGATTTGCTCTGTTTTGGTTTTTTTTAAAAAATAAATTTTAAGAGCTTATATATATTAATTTAACTATTCTATAGAATCTGGAATTTTAGTAATACATATTAATAAAGCCAATCTTGAGAAGAAGGATACATGCGTAGATATTTTTGTGGATGAGGGGTTATTCCCTATCTTTACAACAAAGCGTTGCAAGCAAGCAAATCCTGAATATAACGATGGTATTTAATTTTTCATTTATAAAAAACGTTTTGAATATTTGTGCTAATCTCATTCTCTTTTATAAAGTCACCGACGTGTTTATAAAGGAATTGGATTTTTCAAAAATTTGTTTCCAAGTTCGACACTATGATAACAAAAACCCACTTGATGTTGCAGAGATTGGTGTTAGTACTTTCTTGGATAAATGTTTAAATTCGTCTCCAGAAGAAGGTGTTGATATTCCTTTTAGCGGAATAAATAATGCATCTATAAATGTTTATGCTCGTTATGTACCTATTAAATATACAGTACAACCTTCAGAGAGTATAAACAGTGAGTGATCAATTAAATGGTTATTGTATTATTATTGGCCTAATTTAAACGTGATATTTGGACTTAACATTATATTTTTCTTTGATATAGACATGGGTGAATTACAGATAACTATCAAGAATGCAGAAAATATACCTGCAGCCGATCGAGCTGGTGAATAAATTATTATTAATTTTTAGTTAATATATTGTAAATATATTAAAATTTTATTATTAAATTTAGGTACAAGTGACCCGTTCATTGTCTTCACCTTGAATAACGAAAAGGTTTATAGGACAAGAGTTGTCAAAAAGACTTGCCATCCCGAATTTGATGAAGAATTTACTGTGAAAGTGGTATTTGTTGATTTTATTTTATTTTATTTTATTTTTTTTTGCAATTTTTATCTTTTCTTTAGCAAGAGATTAAAATACACAAAATCCTTTGATAGTTGTCACGTTCAGCTGATTTATTCGAAGCTGAAATATTTGATTGGAATCAAATAGGAAATGCTACAAAAATTGCAAGCTGTAAGATTCAAATTGATGATTTGCCACTTATTGAAAGAGCAGTGAAAAATATAAATCTACAGAATGAACTTGACAATTTAAAACCTGGGGGCATACTTAACCTTCATATTGTTTTCCGGCCCGCTTTACTTTCGAGGAGGAGACAAACTTCGGGAGTCGTAACAAAGGCTCTAACAGGGATTGGTTCTGGAGTAGGAAATGTTGTTTCTGGCGGTATTGGGTCTGGTGTAAATATTGTTGGTTCTGGTGTAAATCTTGTCGGTTCAGGAGCAAATACAATCGTTTCTGGTGTTGGTTCTGGATTCGGTCTTTTAAAGAAGCCCAAATCAAATAAGTCGGATCAATCGGAAAAATCAGATAAATCAGAAGAAAATGTAACAAACAGGTCTATTGATCTTGATAAAGATGGTACGTATTTTCTTGAAATCCTTTTCTTTTGATAATTGATTTATTTATTATGTTTTTTTAAAAAAAACAGTTGTCAAAGCAAACAGAACTTCAACAGCTAGTAGTATTGAAAGTTTAAATGGTATTTCTTTTTTTCAATTAAATATATGATATTCAATTTATTTTGTTATTGTTTAATATAAATCTTTTACCATAGGTGAAGCTGGAATCCTGACATTACATATTATTGAAGCGAAAGATTTAATTGCAGCAGACAGTGGAGGTAAGCCTCGATATAAATTTTTTTTGTCTTTTTATTCAATGCTAATATTGAAATTGGCATATTAAATAGGTACGAGTGACCCGTATGTAAGAGTTAAATTTAACAAAAAAGAAATCCACAAGACAGCAACTAAAAAGAAGACATTGACGCCTATATGGTAGATACATTTATTTTCTTAAACAGCACTTCGAATAATTTTCTGTGATTTTAACTTTGCTTTTGTAATAGGGAAGAAAAATGTACAATAAACTTTCATGATCCAACAACTACCATACAATTGTCAGTAAAAGATTATAACGCAATGAGTAAAGACGTAGATATTGGATCATACGACTTAAAATTGCAAGAATATATTCAACCGGGAAGTGCAAAAGATTTTTGGGTCAATTTGGAGAATGGTGACCAAGGAAAATTACATATCAAATTGGAATTTAATGGTAAAGAATCAAATGCGTCTAGCAAAGGAAGTTTTAAAAAGTGGTAATTTGGGTAACCAAAAAAAAAAAATTTTATTATTTAACGCAATTTGTATTCTTTGAAGTATAATAATAATAAAAAATATTATAAAATTTATTAAATTGTGATTATCTTTTGACATCTTACAATTCCATTAAAACCTATTGACACCTGATGAGATTGTCGTGTCAATCTATCAATTGGATTTTAATTTCAAATAAAATTATAGAAATTTTAAATTAAGGTGAAATCATGATCAGTTGTCAATGCGGGGGAAAAGATTGCTGATCACCATATTCATTTCATAATAGGAAAATTAGGTGAATAACATATTTATTAATGTAAAATTTTCATTGCCTACGACTAAAATAAAAACATTTGACGGACTAATAGTGTGGCACAATTATTCATTATTTATTATTATTATTAATTTGATTAAATTAAAAAGGTAAGTAAATCACTAAAATTCTTTCTTTACAACTTTAAAAACTTCATAATCAAATATTTGAAAAGATGGTGATTCATGAATAGGACACATATAATCTTTTCTTTGACAAACACCTTGAAAGACTTTTAGATCACCATGACCAAAACCAATAAAATGGCCATCATCATCAGAAATGGCACTTTTTTCTTTAATGACTCTACTTAAAGTAGTAATGGAAGATCTCTTATCAGAACGAAAAGAAAATATAAAACTTTCAGATGACTGGTTAAATTTGTTTGAACCAGTCCAATCCAAAGGATTATAACCACCAATTATATCTTTTGATCCTGCTATATGAATAACAATAATAGTCGGACCTTGATTAAATACCTTTTCACGAAATTCTTCTACACCAAAACCATGACGACTCCCACGTAAAAGAAGTAATAAATTATAAGGATTTTCTTGTTGTGATGTATACATTAATGTACCTTCTTTAAGGTCTATCCAACTTGAAATCATCAAAGATTGTTCGAAAGAAATAATTGTTGAATCAAGTGTAAATTTTGGAATCCTTGGTGGTAAAATTGTGGTTGATAATTTACTATTTGGTACAATAAAATGTAATTTAAGATCATCTTTAAGTTGCTTTGGCAATAATTTTTTATAAGGTCTAACCTCATAAAAATAATCTTCTGGTGACATTTGAAAAAATCTAATGAGAGGAATAGATTGATGAAGCATCCTCTCTAAAGTTTCAAAATCTTCTGATGTCCAACTTTTCAAATCCGTCATCGCTTTATCTTCAAAATTAGATTGAGAAATTCCCCATTTAATCAAATGTTTCCATAATTCAACCTCTTTAATTTGTAAATTATCTTGTTTAATAATTAAAGTTAATGCTTCTTCTTGTAATATATTAAATTCTTCTGAATTAAAAAGCCACTGAGGATTTTTCGAAATCAATTCGATACAATGATCTCTCAATTTTTCAAATACCCCCTCATAACATGATACTGTATTAAATATTTGAATTAAATTTTTTTGATACCATTCTTTATTCAAACTAATAATATGTTCTTGAATATAATCTACGAGATCTGTAAGAACTAATTCATCTGATGCTGTAAGTAATTCAACAATATTAAGATCTGATGATTCGTCGTCTAAACAAATTGTACCTGTATAAATATATCTGTAATAAAAAGAGTTAAGAGAATTTAACAACAAAAAAAAAAAGTTGTATATATATTTATATATATTCTAACTCTTGAACTTACTGTAAAATTTTTCTAAAAATGTTTGGACTAATATTTGGTTTTTTAAAATGAAATTTGTAACCTGCTTTTTGAGCCCAATTTGTTGATAAAGCAGCATTGAAATAAGGTGACCTAGCACGTAAAATTACTGAATGAGCTTGAAATATTTCGACTTTTGGTTCTTCACCAACTGTAACGTATACATTATAATCGTCTGCTTCGATAAAAAGTCGAGAAATATCTCTTAATAATGAAATAGATAAATCTTTGCAATTCATTTGTTAAAGAAATTCGTTATAGAAATACAGTACATTTATCGTCAGAAAGATATCCCAATATTGCTTTACATTTCCATATTTGGGCAAACATGGTTTTTGTAACCCATTCTAAGTTAAATTTTTACACCATTCATTCTTTTCATTCCAAACGAAAAATTCAAATCCCAAAAAAGTATTAAGAATAACTTTGGTTTCAAGTTTAGGTTTAGGAATATAAATATCTAAACAACCTCTTTTATTTAGAATTTGATGTTTTAAATATACTTGATACTGTTTTTTACACAAGCTGATGATGGATCTCGCCATTCTTTAAAAGCCGTTTCTAATTTTATAAAGAGAAAAAAATATATTAGTATGCTTGCAATGAAGAAAAAAAAATTTTTGTTGAAGACTTGTGATGAGAAAACTTTTTTGATAAATTGATAAAAAGTCGTTTTAATCAAATTAGATTTTGAGTTGCACGAAAATATGTTAGGTAGCGAGAGCAAGTTGGTACCACCTGCTGCTCTCGTTGCTCCCTTCGAATGGACGAATGACGCTACATTAGAATTAATTCGTTTACGACGCGACTACCATAACGATTTCGAGTTCGTTTCCAATAACCGGCATGAAAGGATATGGCAAAACATATCCAATGATCTATTAAATAATGGGGGGTTTGCCGCTTCTCCCGCCCAATGTAGAAGAAAATGGTACTCGTTGAAATACGGGTACGAAAATTTAAAGAGGTTGGAAGCCGGGGAGAATCCCCATGACCAACCAATAACAAACCCAACTCTGCATGATCGGTTATATCATGCAGAGTTAGGAGACGAATTTTGGCTGCGTACCGGTAATTAATTTATTGAATAATAGTAATAAGAAATATATTTTTTACTTTTTAAAACTTCAATTTTTTAATTTTATTTATTATTTTTAGACGTAAATCGACGTCGGTTTAGAAGACAGAACATAGATCGCCAGCACCGTCATAGATCTCGTTCTCGCGGGATCGTAGATCCCATTCTCGCCGTCATTCTAGGGATCGTAGTGATCCCGTGCGTAGCTTCCGCTTGTTTAGTGCAGAAAATCGTTTATAAAAGAATATTTAAGTATTAGTATGAAGCGTCAATCTAGGTTATCAATTGAGTCAATGGCTAAATTACATTATACTATGTTAAGAATATGTACTTTAACAGAATCGAATCATTCATTTTCAGGACTATAAGAAGCAGCTTTTTGATGAATTAAAATAATGATTTCACTGAATTTTCTGAAGAAAAATTTAAAAGCAAGAAAAAGAATTTAATCAAATTGAGAAAGAAGAAGATCTTGATGAAGAACTTCTTAAAGAAGGTAATGAGTTAATAATCGAGAAATATTTGCTGTGAGCAGAGCAAAGTGAGTTTATTGAACATAGATGCTAATTTAATTAATAATGTATTCATGGTTAAAAGCATGTAATGGTTATTAAAGAGTATGAATTATGTGTTGATACGTATATTATGATAGGATAGTAAAATAGCAGCAAAATAATATTTCAATACAACAACTTTATTTTTTGTATTTAATAAAATTTATTATATTATTTCGGTTTTGTATTCGGCCATGAAATTTATTTTGACACTTTCAACTTTGTCATTTTCATTTCGGTTTCATGTGATATTCATGTATCAAAAAATCGTATAGCTTTGTGAATTAAAAAATAGGCAGCTTTTGAGGAAATGTACTAAAATTCTTTTTTTTACAACTTCTATAAAGGAAATTTTGTAGTCCGAAAAATAAAACGTTTATTGCGTTTTTTATATTTCAGTTCAGAGCGCGGCGTGTAACATTATAATAAATGATTGCAATTTTGTGTTTTAACATCAACATTTAATAAAAAATTATGGCAAATTAATTTTTGACGCATCTGTCATTCATTAAATTATATTTTTAAATAAATATTATCTGAATGACCTGATAATCAAGATTAAATAATATACAATTATGAAGTTTTGATTCTTGGATCTTTTTGAAGTTACCATGCTTGTCTTTATCAGAATGCGAGACTAATCGAAGGTATATTTGTTATATAATTTCGAAACTTTAATTTTCATCAAATCATCGATTTTGATGATTATTATTTGATTTTTTGAAGGGCAATTTGTGTTTGAAAATTGTTATTTTCGACGCAACAGATACACATGTCCGGGCACAGTAATGTGGTGCAGTAATTTGCCGTTTAAATATTATCAGAAAAATTTTCACCAAAAGTGGCGAATCGTTGAATAATTTACTATCTATGATATAAGGGCACAACATAATAGATGTTGAAGACATAATCCATGCGTGTTTAAGTGCCCCCGCCGCTGTCAAATTTTAATTTCAATTGGTTCACATCCAATCAACGCATCTTACTAGCAAGCTTTCCCAGAACCACCCTGAATGTAATTTCATCCTTAATCAATTGTTCGCCAGGATATTTGGTAACTGGATGTCCATGCAATATTTTTTTTTTTCATAGGCCATATACACTACTTGATTTTTATTAAAGAGGGTCCTTTTCGTAGTCTGGACAAGTCTGGGTATGATTGTACTTTGATCGTAAGAATCGCCAAATTTTTATGGGAGACCCACTTTTAAAACTCTCATTTCAACAGCATAAAATGTAATATAAAAGTGTCTTAATTTCTGCGCTTCCCGATCATAACTATTTATAAAAGTAACCAAGATTTAGACAAAGAGATTTGGAAAATTAATAACACAGATGACGAATATCCAAGATTTAGTACTTCAGCACAGAAGCAACAGCCATCTAAAGCCAAGTCACATTATTTATAACATACAAGACGTCAAGCCATCACCACATTAGGGTAGAAGTTTAGCTTTTTTATTTGATAAGGTAACAATTATTTTTTGATAGAAATGATAAATTATAAAATATTCTTATGTAAAGTCTAAATTAAATATTCAGAATGTATATGGCGCAGTCGGGTCTGATGTGATTTGACGTATATAACTACTAAGCCACCACAAGTCACGTGTTAGAGTAAGTTCGTATTGTGCTACCTGGCATTTGTAGAAAAGCCACATTTATTTTTTTTTTTCGATTTTTCACTTTCAAAATTTCGAAAATGTCGTCAAGAGTTCGTAACACACCACCATCATCATCCTCATCATCAGAAATTCCACATTCGACAAATTATGCGGACAATTCAATAAAATTTCAATTAATAACGCATGGTGTAATTACCTTCACACAATTATTGTTATCAACACTTTGTTTATTTCATTTTCCTCAACATAAACTATTCGAAAATCCCGTAGAAAGTTTAAAAACGACTAATTTATTATTATTTTTTGTTCAATTTATAATTGAAATTATTCGTTGGTTGATTTATTTGGATAGTGATTCTAGTAATGTTGGTTATGAAACCAACAAAAAATTTAAAAATTTGTTTAATGATTTTATAAGGAAAAAAGGAAAGGTATGTAATTTTTTAAAAAAAGCAGTAAAAATAAATAGTGTTTCCTAATTTAGAAATTAATTTGTTTTTATTTTTACAAAAAAAGAATTTTTTTGTAGCATTATACTTAACGGCATTCTCTGCATTTTTATTACATCTCGTATCTGTTTTATTTGGTGCACCTTTATTCCAGTAAGTATAATCTTTAAAGTTTATTTGTCTGTATGTAAGAAAAAATTTTAAAATCATTTTATTTTTATTTAGTAATGTACAAAATACTTTGATGTTTGCAATATATGTCTCATTATTAGGAATATTTCCACCCGCGGTTGCATTTAAAACCCATGGTCCATATTGGTCGAGAGTATTTTCTGATTTCAAGTAAGTTGTATAATATATATATATGTTTGTTTAAGGTTTTTAAAATGTATTTTAATTTTTCTTTTATTTTTTTTTTTTTATTCAAAGTCCCGAAACAATCCCAGAGAAAATGGTGTATTATTCAACTGTAGGGACAATAATAGGTGCATGGGCTGGCGCTATAGTTATACCATTAGATTGGGATAGATCATGGCAGGTAATATCGAACCTTTATAATAGGATTTTTTCATTAGGATCTTGTGAAATTTTGTATAAATATTTTTATTTTCTAGGTATGGCCTATTTCTTGTGTTATAAGTGCTTATATTGGACATGTAATTGGAAGTATTTTGGCAGTAATCGTATGTTATTTTAATCCTGAAAGCTCTACGCTGCGAAAGAAGAGGAGATGAGAAATATCTACATTAGTTACAGTAACAACTCTTAAAATTTTTTTAATGAGAGAATTAAGTCAGGCTTGGGGAACACGACAGACAGTACTATTTGTCTTTTTTGTATCTCTCTTGTTCCAATTTTTATTTATTGTAAATTATGATGACTAATTATCAATAGTTAAACCAGGGTTTGGAAGTACAAGGTTAAGACTATATTAGTACAATTTAGTATCAATTTTATCTAGCACATAAAATTTCCCAAAAGATATTAGAATAAAAGAATTTGGAACATTTCATTGCGAGGACGAAATAATAATTATTCAAATTTTAAAATTCGATGATTTAACTAAATGATTGGCCGCATTGTACAAATGAACCTTTAAGAGTTCAAGCACGTGTATGTAAAGCAGATTAATAAGGATGTTAAAATATTGTGAGAATGATTTATTATTATATTTTGAATGACAATTAAATATAAATTTTTTCATTAATTCGGTTTCAAATTAATTTTACGTAATGATCTTAAGAAAACCGAATGGAAACCGATTAAACAAAAAACACTGAATAGTTTATTTTTTTAATATTTTAATCTTGGTAATATAATAATAACACAATAAGAGCTCGTATAACAAACACAAAAGCCAATTATTTTGATTTAATTTGACCATAAACAATCTTTAAGTTGGCTATATTTGAGGTAATAGTCTGTTGAAATGTCAAATTTAGAGTTCCATAATATAAGAAAAGTGGACTAATGTGCAAAGATCGCATTTTATTTTTTTTTTTAAGAATTTGCAAATATAATCTTTAAGTAATTATAATAATATGAATAGCATATTTCAAGATATATATTCTCAGAAATCCCAATACACAAGTTAAAAAAAAAAAAAGTGAAATTTGACCAAACACGCGAATGGAACAATCCATAAAAAAGATTCCATAGAAATGTGTTCAATTCTGTGTGTTTCATCTTTTTTAGAAGTTTTGCTAATTATTATGATGCAACAAAATTTGCAACACGAAGACGGATTCTCTCACAAACTTTCTTCATTGCCATGGCATTTGAACAAGTAAACATTATTTCCTTGTTCATTGTGCACAACACGACATTTTGGGAACTGTATGATCTATGCGGTGTTCCGTCAAGGAACCAATTCTGAGTATTCCCTCAATGATATCTGCAACGGTCCTGGTACTTTCTTGTTGTTGTTTCTTATCAATCGTAACTGTTGTCGTTGAAATTGTTCATTTCCACTGCGAACAGACGCCTCGATCATAAATCGTACAAATTTCTTTCTTCACTGAAACCTTAAAATTTACTGTTCTTGGCGCTCTTCCGCCATCATAGTTTTGTCGGCAAAGAAATCCAACATTCTGGCAAGATATCTTTTTTTTGTTTTAATGGCACATCTCCTCATTACCATGATATCATGCATCATACGTCCGTCCCACACCGTTATCATTAAACCTGGACGGTTCCATCTTTTTATAATGGTGCAGATGAATAAATGGAGAAATGGAAAATGCACATATTTGGAATAATAATTATATAAAAAGTAATCAAACTTTCCCTATGGTGTAACTTAAGTCGATTATATTATAATTCACTATTATATTTTTTTTTTAAAAAAAAAAAGCTGTGAAACAAGAGCTTCTTAAAATCTTCATAATATTGTTATTGTTAAATGTCTCCGTCGAAATTTTGACCTAGTCAAAAATTGGATTTGATTGTGTTGACGTACAAATTGCAACCCGAAGGCAAAGATAAAAATAAAAGGAAGGCGTATACGATTTGCGTAACAAACGCTAATTAGCTATTAATATACATCAAAAATGTATGTTTATGTTCATTTCTTGCTTTTCTTACTATTATTTTATAATAACGATAAGTCGTTTTCTCCGGTTTCGATTCTAATATTCGTTTCGATACGAATTTATTATGGCGCAACAATTTTTTAAAAAATGGTAAATTTGTCAATAATAAAATAATGTTTGAGCCACGCCTCTACGCCAATAAAAATGGATTATTTTATTACATAAAGATAACTATTTTTTAACCGGTTAAAAAATCTACGAGTCCCCAGTTTCAATGGATTCAATTAATTCGATTTTGATATTATATATAAAGAAAGATCTTATTGGGTAGGTTAATAGGAAAATCAGATTCCAAGAATTTTTGAATAACATTTAGCTTTTAGTGCATCTTCAAAATTGGAATGCAAATTTTATTAAAAAATTCTCGGAACTTGATTTTCCTAGCAACCTTCCCTTATGTTCTATTTTTTTTTTAAAAAAAAATAAATAAACAATTTTTCGGTATCATCAATTTATAAATTGAATCAGCAGCTGAGTCTTTAAACGTTATCAAAAATCAAAGCTAATTTTTTATTAAGGTTTGTATCAATAAAAAGTATTGTAAAATTTGTATAAAATAAGTTCTGAAGCAAAAGAATATAAAATATAAAGAGAGGCAGTAATAAACAAAAATCATAATAAACTTTGCATATTGTACAAAAAATCACTGTTTTTCAATTTATTGGACTCGAGCGTCCAAAGTAATTTATTGCCAATTATTATTGTTTTTTTTTTTTAAAAAAAAAAAATCTCGAAATTTATATAAGTTGAATACAACGAGTTTAAATATATCGTTTGACTTTTACGGACCTAAGCATCAAAAATGTTTCCGAATTCTCTAACATTTAATTAATGCTTATTAAAAAATAGCGAAACTTAAATGATTTCTATTAATATAAAAATAAAATTCCAACTTGTTATATTAAATCATACATTGAATTTTTTTCTTTGTAAACTTTAATAAAAAAAAAGGTTTCTTAAATTCTTAAAGAGAATAATATTAAATTATGGTTAATTAAAGGTTTAGAATGCATATAAAACTTAAATGCTTATTAAAATAAATCATAAGAAATGCCAATTATTCAAAATGTTACTATTATTTGCCAAATAAATTTTCCTATTATCTATTCATCTCTAGTAGAATCAATTAATTCGGGAAAATACAAGAGCCTGCTTGTATAAAATGCATTTGGATGAATATCTTGGTGAAAAATGGTTTTTTTTAAATCTGAAAATCTTTTCTCCTCTGCGATATCAAATTGAACCGACAATTCGGATTGTTGAGGTTCATCGCAAATAGTATTAACCCAATTTCCAAGTAATTCATATAATTGAGATGCAGTTGGACGTTTCAAATGATCAGAATGCCAACATTGTGACATCAACTGAATATAAACATTTGGAGTTCCATCAATAATTTCAGGACGATGACCAAGGTAAATTTCAGTGGCTAATTTAATGTCATGTGGTCTATTGCAAAATGGACGAATACCTGCAGAAAGTGTCCACATAATAATTCCAAAGCTGTAAATATCTGAAGCTTTTGTTGCTAACCCTCCTTTTAAAATCTCAGGAGCTATATAAGGAAGAACTCCATAAAAACCATTGGAATTTTTCATGTCAATTAAACAATGTAATCCTACATCAGAAATACGAATATCAATTGAATCTAATTCATTTTCAACCAGTAGATTACCTCCATGAATATTTCCATGAATTAACTCATTTTCATGGATATATTCAATTCCTCCGGATATTCCCCAAAGCATTTCAACTATATCTCTCCAACAAAGCATTCCTTGTGCTTCATCAAGGTATGAATGCAAATCTCCATTCTCATAATATCTCATAACAAACATGTAATTTGAGGAAGGATCTTTGGTTATTCCAAAAAAATTTGCGATACTTCCAAAATGTAAAACCCGGTGAAATTCATAAAGCTTATAAAATTGAATAAATAGTTATTTATGAATTGTTAAAAAATAATCATAAACATTTTAAATAGACTTACTTGATTAAGATATTCTTTACTTATCAGTTGTGAATTGTGAAGTTTTTTAAGAACAACTTTTGTTGGTCCATTACATGTCCATTGTTCTGCACCTTCATCCCAAATCCATCGAGGACCTTCCATCCAAATTGCTGAATAAATTATACTAGATGCATCACCTTTATTTGTATCTTCAACAAGGACAAATTGCTCAAATTCAATATATTCCAAATAATCTACACTTCCAGTAGCATTTAATTGAGTATGTTTAATAAAATTATCGATTTCAAGATTTCCACTTGTCCAATTTTTAAAGTTTTCTTTAAAGGAATTATTTTCACATACATTACACCATTCAATGTTGCTTTGTTTTTTTCCACAATCTAAACATCTTTCAAAATTTAAATTATTTTTTCGATTCAATTCTCCTTCTGGCATCAAGGCGGAATTTATATAATCAGGATCTCTATTTAATTGAAAAGACATCTGTGAATTTTAGAAATATCATTTAGTACATATTTTTATATAATTAAATTTTTTGTGGTAACGTAATGATGATTTTGCATAACTTAATTCATTGTTTATATTTGGGTGTTACAAGGTTCTTGACTAAAATTAATATCTTATTACATTCAAGTCTAATTTAACAACCCATATGTAATACTATTAGAGTTACAAAACTTATCAACTTATTTTAGAAATTCGCCCATATCCTTTTCGATTATTTCCAGTTTATATAGTTGTAAATAAACCCAGTGCATTGCCGGTAAAAACGCATTACATATAATATGATTATATGAAATGATTTTACTATAAACGTCATATTTAGTAATAAGAACTTACTTAATTGATAAATCTATAAGTTAATAGATGATTTATTTAATTGTGAAGTGAATTGGCTATGTATGAATCTTGACCTTTAAATATCATTTTAACGAAACTTTTCTTATATCGGGAAGATTAGTAAATACTTGTGCGAATAGATCATCGTAATCTTACTAAATATGTATCTTATGTAACATACATATTAAAAATTTTAAAACATAAATACATAAAATATTATAATAAAAATGGAAATTTTAAACTGGCCGGTAGACAGTCATAATTATCGTAGGACATTTTTTTTTGACTTGTTAGAAGAGCTAAATATGATGGAATTTCCTTTTACAAAAGGACCTTTATTATACATATATCATTTTTTTTAAATATTTTTAATTGGTCAACCTGTCGTTCAGAAGCAGATATCGGTCACGGTTTATGACTGGTCATCCCTATAAAAATTTCGCCCGAATATTTCCATTATTTCTCCGTGGTTTACGTAAAATTTCCGTGAAAATGAGCCTTTCACCGAAAAAAAACATGGAAAACAAAACACGGATCAAGTTTTTTATAGGTGACCATTATATTTATTTGAAATTTATTTAACAATGCTAGGGCGTGCATCAACTAATCCTAATTTACTTAGATTGCATGCACGAATTGTATTGCTTTAAAACAACGAAATTCTGCAGCTAGATCAGCTCCATCAGAAAAGCTCGCTCTACTAGAGTTTTCGTGGTATTATTAAAATAAATTATTCGTTAATCTGTAATTAAAATTACGAATCCAAGTATCTTTTAAAAAAATATAAATAAATAAATAACGTATAAATATTTATTTTACAGCTAATTTCCGAGTTTTTGCATATTTATGTAACATTTTTTCCAAAACAAGAAGTATCACACACGATAGGACTGTTTAGATGCTGTAAATTTTATGTAATAGGATTGGCTAAAATTTATCACCACACCACATTTTTTGTATCCCTTTTTCAGCAAATTAAATTTATGTATCCTCAACTTATGCTATCATATATATGAAAACAAATTTTCTATAAATATTTCAAAAGAGAATTTATATATACTAATTTTCAATCATATCTTTCACAATATAATTTATAATACTAAGATGAATTTTTTTTATGTGATGGATAATGTCTATTTTTAGTAATTTGGCGCCAACTAAAGCACTATATAAAATAATAAATGCTTTGTTTATTTGGGCGCTTTGAAATTAAAATCACCGAAATTATGATTTTGACTAAATTTTAAATGAACAATCAATCTAAAAAGAGAATAACGCCGTTTTTTAATCATCCAAATATTCAAAATCAACGATTGCTACGATTTATGAATGAATGATATGGAAACCATTGTGGCATACCCTAAGGAAAGGTATTGTATAGCGTGATACCTTTATACCACCGAATAAGAATTGCAATTTATCTTTTATTTATTATTAGTATACACAGTACCCCGGGGGGTTATTAGAGAAATGTACATAAGGTACTATATAGCGCCATACTTTTATACTCAAAAATTGTTCAATATATAAGGAAGTTATTAAATTTTTAGCATTTAGTTAATAAGCAAATTATTTATCGTAAATATATGTCGACAAGGAAGAGTTATCGTTATCTTGACACGTCAGAATTGTAATCTTAGACTCTGTGGTAACGTGATCATGACTGTGATGTTCTCAAATTTAATTTTTCATTCAATTTATAAATTTTTTTATTTTTCATTATTTATTCTATTAACTTCAATTTTAAACTTATAATAAGTTTTTCAATCACTAACAGCTAACAAATGTTGCTTTTAACTAACGATAAAATCTAATAATGCATATTACGTGATCGATATACTGCGGAATAAAAAGTTAAGAAAATATATACTGAATATAGGTAGCTCAGCAATTTTATTTTTAACCAAAAAAAATTATTAATAGCCCGGAAAACTTTCAAGTAAAACCGACCATGAATAGATCGTCATAAAAATAAATAAATAAAAATGTGGAATTTTATCATTTATCCTCAGGATTATTTTTTATTTTGCAAAGAAAGGAAAGGCAAAACTTATATAAATTATTTCTGATGTTGCCAAATTCCTTATTTACATAATACAGTAAAAAGCCTTGAAAATTTTACTAAACATTCCGTTGAATGCTCAATCACTGGGTTTGCATAATCGACCAATCATGTCATCAACTTTTGATAAATGTAATGATTGTGGAAAAAAACAAAGCAGCATCGAATGGTGTAAAGAATGTGAAATTAATTCCTTTAAAGAAAACTTTAAAAATTGGACAAGTGGAAATCTTGAAATCGATAAATTTATTAGACATACTCAATTAAATGCTACTGGAAATGTAGATTATTTGGAATATATTAATTTTGAGCAATTTGATCTTGTTGAAAATACAAATAAAGGAGGAGCATTTACCACAATTTATTCAGCAATTTGGATGGAAGGTCCTCGATGGATTTGGGATAAAGAAGCAGAACAATGGACACGTAATGGTCCCGTAAAAGTGTCTCTTATAAGAATTAACAATTCAGAAAATATGAGTGAAGAATATTTGAAACAGGTAGGTTTTAATTTTAATCATTATTATCTTCATAATAGGTTTTTGTTAATAAATTTTATAAAAAGTTATACAGATATCATCATTATTTACAAAGTGGAAGTGTTGCAAACTTTTTTGGAATAACTAAAGGACCTACTTCGAATTATATGTTTGTCATGAAATATCATGAAAATGGAGATTTACATTCATATATTGATAAAGCAAAAGGAATGCTTTGCTGGAAAGATATTATTGTGATACTTTGGGAAATAAGCGGAGGAATTGAACATATTCATAAAAGTGAATTGATTCATGTAAATCTTCATGGAGGTAATCTATTAGTTGAAAATGAGCATGATTCAGTTTATATTGTAGACATGGAATTATATGGTCCAGCAAATAAGAAAATTTCAAACCAAATATATGGAGTTGTTCCATATGTAGCTCCAGAAATTTTGAAAGGAAATCCACCCACGAAAGCTTCAGACATCTATAGTTTTGGAATCATCTTGTGGATAATTTCTGCGGGTATTCGTCCATGGTGTAACAGACCACATGATCTTGAATTGGCTACTGAAATTTGCTTTGGTCTTCGTCCTGAAATTATTGATGGAACTCCAAATGCTTACATTCAACTAATGACTAGATGTTGGAACTCTAATCCTACAATGCGTCCAACTGCAGCTCAATTATATGATATATTAGGAAGTTGGGTAAATGCTATTTGCGATGATCCAAATCCGTCGGAATTATCTCATCAATTTGATGTTGCTGAGGAGAAAAAAATTTTATATTCGGAACAAAATCAATTTCATCGGCAAATCCATCCGCAAGCTTTTTATACGAGTAGACACTTGTATTTTCCTTCATTAATTGGATCTACTAGAAGTGATGAATAGATAAATAGACACTTTAATTTTAGAAGTATATATTTAAGAAATATTAATTTGAATTTTTACAATAAGTTTATGTTCAAATTTTTTATTGATTAATAATTAATAATGGTCATAAAATTTTCGACATTGTCGCTTCGATAATCACAACAAAGGTTTCGAAACCGTTTTAATTTATCATAACAATAAATAACTAATAAAAGATACTGTATATCAATAAAATATATATATATAACTAATTTTTATTTTGTGTTTGGCATCTGATTCAATTATAAAACATTATGCAGACTTCTATTTCCTGGTACCAATAAAAACATATCATGAATTTGAATTTGCCTTCTTCCTGAATTATTAATTGCATCCATCAGTTAAACGTGAAAATTAAAATTGTATGATATTTTATGAAGTTGGGTAGTTGCTAATCCATCAGAATTAAATAACGATAAATTTTCCACGAATATTATTCATAATTTTATAAATATTTACGATATTACAATACAAAATTTCGTAAACGAGCACTATTCGAAGGTTAGTGTTAATCTGTCTCTGAGGTGTGTTTGGCTTTATTTTTGGCATGATATATGCCAAAATTTAATTTTTTTCGGCATAATACACAATGTATTTACATTCTTTTATAATTTTTAAAATTTGGTTAGCTTTTCGAATTATATGAATAGGCGTTTTGGCAGTAGAAAGGAACTATTATGATTTTTATGTATATCCAAATTTAATTTATATCCTGATATTTTTACATATCGTTTTTAATTTTTATCTGTTTGTCCGTATCCCCTTTGTTAATCCTAAATGTATATTATTAATTAATAATAATTTATAATATATAAAAAATAAAAGTTGAAGTTTTATAATCCAATTTACATAAAATCTATGCGTTTTTAAATTCAGATATAAATGCTTTAAATTCACTAAAGTAATATGATGATTTTTATTAATTAGAATACGTACCTGAACAAATTTTGTCCGGAAGTAGGTAAAATATTAAATGATGCAATGTATTAACCGAAAAAAATTTTTATGGAACCAGTTCAATTTCACGAAGCTTACTATTCCAAGTTCAATAACTTTTTTTTTTTTTTTTTTTTATCAATATCAACTATTTTGTCAAATAAACTGCCACTTTGATTATTTGTTTCTTACCGTTGGTAAACTTATCTTACTATTATATAAATTATATATATACTGTATTATCAACTACTTGGTAAATTGATTGGCTATTTTCTGAACATCGATTTCTAGAAATTGCCACAATACATAAAGAGTATCAAATGAACATTATATGCGTTGAAGATATCACATGTTGCCATTTTAAAACTGGTTGTTTAGTTAAATTGAAAACAACTTCTAATATGACGTAATATGGTATCAATCTTTTTGTATAACGTAGTAATGAACTCATTTTAATTAATTAATATCATAAATCTTAATTAGCTTATTATCTTTTTTTATCTTATTTTCATATATTGTTAATGATATGAAATGAAATAAAACGGGTTCTTTTATTTCCTATAAATAGATTAGAGCAATTTATTTAAATCGGGAAAATGCAAGAGTCTACTTGTATAATTAGCACGAGGATGGATTTCACGACGAGATTCAGTCATAACAAATTTGTTGAATGATTCAGATTTATTAGGATCTGACCAACTTCCTAATAAATCATACAATTCTAATGCTGTAGGACGTTTTAACGGATCAGGATGCCAACATCTTGCCATTTGTTGAATGTAAGCATTTGGAGTTCCATCGATAGTTTCAGGACGAATACCAATACAAATTTCAATAGCCAATCTAAGTTCATGTGGTTTATTAGAAATGGACGGATACCAGCAGAAAGGCAGAAAGTGTCCACATGATAATTCCAAAGCTATAGATGTCTGAAGCTTTCGTTGGTGGATCTCCTTTCAAGATTTCTGGAGCTACATATGGAAGAACTCCGTATGTTCTATTTGAACTTTTCTTATAAACTGAGCCATGTAATCCCACATCAGAAATACGAATGTTTATTGAATCTCCTTCGTTTTCAACTAATATATTTCCTCCGTGCAAATTTCCATGAACGATATCATTTTTATGAATGGAATGAAGACCAGTTAAGATGTCCCTTAACATATCTATAATATCTTTCCAAGAACGAACTCCCATAAATTCTTCAAGGTATGAATATAATGAAATATCGTTAATTAAAGATTTATTTATCATTATGAAGGAGTTTTTGCTTTTTTTTTTTTTGAAACACTTTGATCCATATTTATAATTCTGAACCCTCAACCATTATGACTCATTAATTTGACGGTATACATTATTTGCTCATAAACATGAAATAATTAAATTCTGTAATATACTCGTACGACAAATAAAAATTTTAATGGGCGAGAACTTTTGATCCGTTTAATATAATCCCATTAAAGAATATCTCGTAATTATTTAAAAGCTAACATTAATCTGAGTATTCAATCCAATTTGGATGGTGGAATATATAAGCTGATTCTACAGGAAACAAATTTGTAATATAAAGTAAAAGTACCTATTAACATTTTTTTTTCATAAATATTATAAAATTTAATCATTGTCATATGCGTTATGCGTTGATGACAAATTTTTATACAATCAAATAAGGTTAGAACGTATGATCAGATTTTTTTTTTAATTTTGAGTGACATGAATGGTCTGTTGCATGTTTTTTATTTTTTTAATCTACCTCAACTCAAATTTTGTGGCTTTTATGAATTTTATGTGTTAAGGTTACTTACTCCCTTATGACTCTTTATGTACAAATACTACTGGTGAGATGTCAACTTATTTACAAGAGGTTGTGTAATTCAAAAAAAAAAACGTATTTTGTTTATTAGGCTAAAGAAGGCTGAGTTTAAAGTTACAACCAACCAACAGCAAAACTTTTAATTTAAAAAAAAAAGATTTACCAAAAAAAAAAGAAAATGTGGAACGTTAGCTGAAGTTATTTTATAGCTTTTACCTACGGAATGGTAGATGACATTAGAGGTGATCTTTATTTAGAAAGAATTCTCAAAGAAAATAATAATAAAAAAAAAGAGTGGGATAATGTTATTTTGAATGATAAATTTTTGATTGAGGAGATGGAAGAAAGAATATTTTCCCCCCTTTATAGATAGATAAAAATTTACATTCTGATCGACATTTCCAAAATGCAAATTTAATGTTAAAATCCGATTTGGTTACCGATATGGTTCCCTGCATGAACGTTTTTTTAACCAAAAAAAAAATCGCATATGTAGACCATGAATTATAATATAAGCCAATCTGGTACTGCTGAAGAAATTTCATCGTTTTCAAAGCTTGTAATGAATAAAAAATACATATTTAAGAACAAATGCATGCGATATTTCGTATTTATTAAAGTCAAAAAAAAAAAATTTTTTTAATTTTATTTGTAGCAATTTACGCCTAGGGCTATGTCATTTGCATTTGTCTGAAATGTGTGGATCGGTTACGCCGATGATGTCAAAATCCACAAACATCAGGACATGACGCGATCACGTGTTTAGTGATCGTGTTGCTTAAAACAATAATATCTTGTTAGATTATTTTTTCGTTATTTTTTCCCATACTCTTTTCTCAAAACAATTTTTTTTCTTTACTTTGACTATATAAAAGTATCTCTTGCTTATAAGAAAATATTTAAATAAACGTTAGTGTTATATTAGTTAATTTTAAAAATTAAAGTTTTAAAAAGTTACACAACTCACTTGTGCATACGAAAGATCCTCAGGTATCAAAGTATTTAGAATATGTTCTATATAAAATGCAAAACTTTATTTAAAAATCAAACTTAACGAAAATCAAGTATGTAATGTTATAGTATATAGAGTATAATTATATATATAGAACTTTATAAAATAAAATAAAATTACAATAAAAAATTAAAAGAGTTTATCTTTAATTTTGCATTGATTGTTATTGTGTCAATTAAAGTTACCAATAAATTTTTTATCATCATTATATAGTTTATCAAATTTTTATTGTTATTATTTAGATTTTATCTTTATTAGAAGTTTATCTTTATTTTGAATGTATTTATTAATACAAAGCATTGTTTTATTAAAATTATAGATCTTTTCCTGGAATTTTCTCCCAGAAGTTTTAAAACCAGTTCTTCCTTAGCATAGCACATATTTAATTGAAAATAATGTATTATCACCATATTGAACTTCTGAAGATTTTGATATTATACAATTTGAGCTAAAAGCATATGTAAATGCTGGTAATGAAAAAGAAGCGTATGAGTGGTTTATCATATTTCAATCATGGTTAAAATCAAAGGAAATCGGGTTCTTTTTAGAGAAATACTTCACTATATCCATAGTAATGAAGTAAAAAAAAAGCAAGGTAACTGTAAAACAAAACTACTACAATCTGCTCAGGCACATAATATAGGTTGCAATGTGATCATTCATCTTCAATTAGAATGAAGATGACTTCTATATAGCTATCTATTAGAAGTCAAATTAAAATTCATACATAATCACATTGTTAATTTGGCAGAATCACAGAGTTTTTAGCGTATTAAGAAAGAAGTCTGTTAAGAATTCATTAGCTTATTCAAAAATGGATATTTTTTTTTCTTTGGCTTTATAAATTTATGAAAATAACCTTTATTTCAATGTTATGAATAAATAAGAACTATTGGAGATACTTGTAGATCATGCTAAAAATCCTGGATATGATTATGTTGCAAAGATTTTTCAATAATAAGTAATTGTAATGGTAAGTTAATGTTTAAACGTTTGACAGCAATAATCGACAATTATAATAGGTAAGGTTAGGGTAAAGCAGTTTTGCAGGAATATAATGCGAATTCTGAAAGTGCATTGATTTTTATATATTATAATATCCTGTATTTATGAAAAATTTATCAAGCAGACAAAAAAATGTTATATAGATATGTTGATTGCTTTTGATTCACTTAACATTTTGATTACCTTTATACAAGTTATGCTATTGGTGCATTTCTACTTGAAGTATTTTTTACCTCAAATAAACTTGAAATAATACTTGAAAAAGTAATAATTAATTTTAATTCTTTAATTAGCATATTATTTTATTTATTACATATAATTTTGCAGTATTTGTTTTATTAATATTTTAATTTTTAGTTGAATTTACTAAAAATAATACTTTCACCATGTTTTTTATGGATGTGAATCACAATTTGGACTGATAGTTTTTCTTACAGATGATTCAAATGCAAAACAAAATACTTTAAAGATTTGTTATTCACAAAAAATCTGTCTTTTATGCATGTTTTATTTTCTACAAGCATTCTGAAGATGGCTTCACAACTTAAAACATTATATTAAAAGAGAGGATCAAGCATCCATAATGAAAAAATGAAAAAAAATTATTACTCAATTAGGTTTAAAAATAGATATACATTATAATGAGTTTAAGCAGAAGTTTTATAATTATGATTTATTACAAAAATGTTTTGAGTAAAGATGAGCATCATAATTAAAAAGTTGCAACTTGGTAAGTTGCAACTCCTTGTAAATTTATTTTAATATAAAAATTCATAAATAGTTGCAACTCAAAATGTTGCAACTTAAGTTGCAACTAGTTAAAAATTTTAAAAATAATTATGGAAACCATCTTTAATTTTGAGTTATTATGAAATTATTATCCAATTTAGGCTTTTTCTTTTCAAGATTACCTATATATAAAAACAATACTAATAATTATATTAAAAGGAGTTTTGATATATTAAAAAATGTTATTTTTGTCAAAACATAAGCATTTAATCCTATTCAAATAGTTTATTTTGTACCATGAGTATGTAGAGATTTTATGTGTGATGATTATTTAAAATTGCATATAAACATTCAGGATACTTACAAATAGTAAGACGTTTTATGTTCTGGTTGAAAAAGTATTAATATAAATCTTATTCAAAAGACGAATGTAGGTTTTGAATTCTTAGCATTAAATAAAATCAATTCTGACATTTTCTATATTATAAATACTACAATTGGAGTTTATTCTTATCCATTGATATGTCTAGTGGTTCTTGTAAGCATTAGTAAGCAATTACAATGAAATTTCATATTATCATACTTAATTTTGTACTATCATTAACACCTAATGATCATATGATAGATCACATTTTGTAAGTAAAAGGTTTTATATATTTTATATCTTTAATGAATTATATTAACTATTTAATAAATTTATTTTTAGGCTTTTAGCTAAAATAATTTTTTTATGCATCATTATAAGCTGAATCTGGTTTACAAAATCAAGAACCTATACTGTCAGATGATTTTTTTAATAATAAAACTATTGAATAGAAGTTTGTATTAAATTTATATAAGTGATAATATTTGCTAATATCTTAATTTTTTCTTCTTATTTATAGAAAGCCAAATGAAGAGAATGAAGGTGATAAAAAAAATTAATACTTTATATTTAATGTTTTTTAAGAAGAAATTAAAGAAGATTATCAAAATAGCAGTTTATAAATATAAATTGTATTGAATAAGTTTGCAAAACATTATAATGCTATTAAATTGAAATCTATTCTAAGATTATGCTCTTTTTTTACAATATTAATTATGATTTAGACCTAACAGTCTATATTAAGTATGATTTAATAATCTGTGTTTAAGTTGAATCAATTAAAAGAAAAATCTAGTAATAGAAAGTAAAAAATATCTGCTTATATCTGTGAAGAAAAGAAAAATATAGATCTTCAAATTATTCCTAAAAAAATAAATAGGCAAAAAAAAAATATAATTTAAACATACATATTGTTGAAAATCAAATTAATTAAAGATATTTTATTTTTTTATTATTTATAATATTTATAACATTTATTTAATATATATATATGACTTTTTCTTTTTTATTTACCAAAAGTATTTATGTTTAGTATTTAATTTCATTAAATTTTTTTTAATTTCTATATATACGAACATGTTTTAAACATAGTTTTATTTGTTAATTTTAAAATAAACAAGTTTTTTAATATTAAAAATACGAAGCATATAAGCAATTTAAACAATTTATTTATTTAAATATAAATTATTTTATTTATTATTTTCAAAAAAAATTATGAAAAATAAATATCAATGATATCAATGTATTCTAAGCAATATATTCAGTATAATCTGTCATATATTTCAAATATGCTTTCTGTTATCATATTTTACTAAGTTAATTGTATAAATAAACTATCACAAGAAACTTCTGCAGTCATATGAAAGATTTGCTAGGAAATAAGACTCTGAAAAATTTTATTAAAAATTTAATATTTATTGTATTTTAATTTATGGTAACATTATCAAAAATTAAAATACAAGTAAAAATTCTCAAAACACTATTTTTCTAGCTAACCTTTCATATGATAACATCTGTTGATTTTTTTCAAAATGATTAATTAATTTTGCTAAAAAAAAATTTTTTTTTATTATCAAATAAAACTTAACATAATTTATATAGCTTAAAAATTTACAAATTATATATATTTTTCCTTTTTAACAAGTTTACTTAGAATATCAAAAAGGGGTTTAAATTTATAGGAAGACTTTCTTCTATCGATTGAAAAAATTGATCATTATTTCTATAATAAGTATAATCAACAAAAAAAACCATTCAATAATAAAATAATTAAATATATAAACTGAGTAATAATTATAGTTATTTAATCCATAACAAGAAGATAATTTACAAGAAAGATAATTTCAACATATAAATTACATATATAGAACTAATAAAATTACAAATAATATAATAATCACTAGTTGAAATATTTTTTTTAATTGTTAATAATGCAGTCTAGTTGTAGTACTTTATTTGTATTATAAATCAAAGAAAAAATCTAGCAAAAAATACTAAAATACGTAACTTATCTCCTGTGATTCTATTTCAAACTCGTTTGAATCAACTGATTCCAAAGGGGTAGAGATAAAGGTGTCAGAAAGCAAATAATTTCTAAATATCCTTCAGTCTCTAACTTCTCTCAAAAGAAAAAATATCACTAAAAATAATACTTGAAGTAGGGAATTGGTACAAATAGAAATTTACAAACAACCAAAAATAATTCTATAAGTTCTAATTAAAGTCTGATCAATTCTAGTTTAAAGTGATCACTTAGCAGAAGAAGGTACATCCAAGTAACTAGGTCTAAATAGAGGCTCTTCATTCATAAATACGAAAAAATATCATATAGAATCCATTACAAAAAATCTACAAAGCATTTACAGGTAGTAACCTATATCCTTTATTTGATTATCAGGAAGGTATAGATATAGACGAAGCAAACTTTTATTAAGTAAGTATCTCAACAACAAAGATCTCTCATGACTTTATTTCAAACTCTTTTGAGTCACGAGAATACCAGACCAAGTGATAGCTACTATCACACCATATAGATGACATCTGAAAATATCAAAATAAATATTACACTAAATTTGCACATGATCTTTGATGATAGAGGATCTGCAGAAAGGCAAAGGCCAATTAAAAAAATGCATATTTGTTTAGAAAGAGGAAGAGGTTATTATATGAGATTTGTTTATTCAAAGTATGTTGATTATAATCATCAGTTTGAATACCTCTTGATGTCCACTTTTTGTAGGCAAAAAAAAAAAAGAGAAAATATGGAAAAAATTTTTAAAAAAGAAGTGAAGAAAAAATATTTTAACAAAAAACAATACTGTTTAGACTATTTCAAAATTTTTTATGTGGATATGGGTGTAGGAAAAGAAGAGAGGAATATTTTGAAAGTAATGATTTTTGTTTTGTATGCAGGTTAAGCTGCGGTCATTATTGAACAAACACTTTTGTAAATATATTATTTTTGATTTGCAATGCAAACTTTTTTGATTCACCAAATCGTATAATTTAATTGCTATTCTTTTTTGATTCAGGAGTTTGTAATACAGTGATCACGCTCTTTTTTTGATTTAATAAATGGGTTCTTTTTTGATTCTTTTTTTAATTCAATAAAATGTGATTTAGTAATATAATATTTTCGTGATAATTATTATTGATTATTTTATTTTATTGGAATATTTTAATATTAATCTAGTTTTTATTATTATAATTATGAACATACTCATCAAAAGTACTACTATCTATCATAATTTTTTATGCAACTTTTAAAGAATTATTATCACCAATATCTTCTAATATTAATCTCATTGTTATTTTAGAAACAAAAACTTCCTGAATATAATCTTATTATTTTAATGGGAAAGAATTGATTGGTGTAAGAATGTGAGAATTTAGAAATAATTCAATTAAAATATTTGTAATTAAAACAACTTCTTTCATCCCATAATATTCTGGCTAATTTTATATGAATTTTAGTCAGTATATAATTAAAAAAATAAACTCTATACAAAATAACTTACCTTAAAGTTTTGATATTAACTAATTAACATCATTAGTGTTGCAGCTTTTTTATGTTTAATATTTTGATACAATTGTTTTGCAAGGTCATTGTAATAACTATAAGTAGTACTATTAATGATTTCTATAAGATTATATTTAAATCCATGAATACAACTCAGTAACAGATCAAAATTAATTACAAATGAGTAATTATTTACCAAACCACCTGGAATAATTGATAATTCTGCAAAATGTAAATAACAAAAGTCTATCCAATCAGATTCTGAAATATTACTTATAAATATTTATTATTAATAAACAATATATTTAAATTATAAAATTATATTATATTTATATAATTCAAGAATCAAAATATCTTGTTTATTATTTAATTTGTCTAATACCAATTTCATTTTTTAGACTTCAAATTAGGTAAAATTTCATCACAAAAAGGACAAGTTTCTTTTACTAAAGAATGATAAATTATATTAGAATTATTATTTTAATATTAACATATATACAATACATACTTTGATTATTTTCATTTTTTATTAATGACTCTAATTTATCAAACTCATTAAATTTATTAAATTTACATTTAATAAATTCAGTAAGTTTAGGCTTCTTTAGACTTGGTATAATAAATTGAACATTATTAGATATAATTGTATTTTCTTTATTCTATAAATAATTAACTAGAATATTTTAAGTTAATTTATTATTAAATAAAATTATTTGAACTATTAAAAAATTTTTAATACTTTATTTTTTCGCAAACTCTGTCTAATTCTTTTAGTCTGTCTTTACTGTATAGAAAATGATTGTGAACTCGAAGGTAGTAGTAGTATATTTGATGATAATTGTATTTCATATGATGATCATGTAATATTATCTGATGTTTGCATTATTATGCTAATTAATAGCGTTGTATTATTTGATTGAGGTATTTTATTTATAATAAATAACATATTATTTGATAGTTGTAATTGGTTTCATTTTCTTGGTTTAGCTGAAGGTTTTGATGAAGCACCATAATTATTTAATGCATAATTATTCAAATCATCTGGTCAGAAAGGATCATTTGTTTAACTTAAAGTAGAACGTTCGATAGAATTGAAAATTGAATTTCTTAAATATTAAATTTAAATAATAAAAAAATAAATAAAGTAAAATTAAAATAAAATAAAAATAAAGAAATTTAAATCAATACCTTGTAAATTATATAAGTGAACTATTTTCTGATATGTCTCACAAATCTTTCCATTATAGATTAATAAGTTTTTATTATTATATGATAAGACTCATTGTTCATTTCTGAATATGTAACTAATTTATGCTTTATGTCTTCAATAAATTCATTCTGATCTTGTGACTTTAAATAATCATTATATACAAGCTGCATACACATATTTGCAAATATCACGTAAAGGTCTATTCCAAATATAATCTAAATATAAAAGACATTCTCCTGTTATTATATTAACAATATAATAATTTGAATGTATTTTACCAGCTTCTTGAATAATTTTTTCAGCCAATTTGTTTATTATTGGAGAAAGCTTATTCATAATTTCTTTATTAAATATTACTATCGGATCATCATAAAGTGAAATTAATATGTTTGAATCCTTTGACTGTTTAACATAATAAAAATTATTATGATTTGTAGATTCTATCATATTTAACAGAAAATAAAATCTTCCTTTATTTAATCTCGTTTGTTATCAGATATTAAAATAATTGGTTGATTTTGCTTAAAATTTAAATAAATAAAAATGCAATTAATGTTGGTAATTTAATAATCAATAATATAAATATAAATTATATATTATCTGTTCAATTGATTGTGCATTAAATAAAGTTATAAGTCCCGCTTCAAATTCAATTTGTTCACTATTTTCTGTTAAATTATTTCGTAATAATTTAACTCCATATAATCTTTCAAGAAACTTGAAACAGTTTGTTTTCCTGAATAAACAGTTTCTATTGTATAATGTATTCTTTCTGTGAAGTTGTTGGTTATCCATGGTAAATGATTATATAAAATTCTTTCAGCATCAATAAATACTACCCTCCATTCATTACACATCCAGTTATTTTTTATTCCATTAATTATTAAGTCTTTTTTATGATCTTCAATAGGTAAAGATTGAATAAAGTTACAAAAAAGAAAAAAAAATTCATGTGAAATATCATCTTATCAACATCTTCTAATAATTTTAAAAGCCATACAATGGAATAACTAATTAAATAAATTAAAATAAATTGTAAATTTTGTAAGATTTTTTATGCTAATAATAGAAATATTTGATATAAAATATTATATTTTCCTGAATTGTTGTGAAATTTGCTATCCTTTAAAATTGTTGCCTAATGCTTGCATTATATGAAACCAGCATAAAATAACACCACATGTTAAACCTTCTATTCCAAGTTTTGAAGGTCTATGTTTGTCAATCATCATATATGGATTCCATGAATTATTTTGTGAACATGGATTCGTTGAAAGATTCCATTATTTAAATTTTCATAATACCAATGATGTTCATTACATGGAATGTTTTGTTTTACTGCTAAAACAGCCATGCGTATTGTTATATGATTTTCTTTGTTACTTAATGCTAAAAAAAGAAAAATCAGCATATTAAGGTACTGTATATTAAGTTACAAAAATATATCAGAAATTAAAATAATATACCAAATGTAAGTGGTGTTCCACAACCGGCATTATTTTCAATAACTATAGACAATATAGGCGTGCGATCTACATTAAGGTATTTGCCATCAAGTCCAATACAGAATTTGCCAAAGTCTCTTCCATTTCGTAGCCAAAATTCATCAGATACTGTTAATTGATAATATCTGTCTGGAGAATTATCAGGTTCATATAAATTCGCTACTTGATAATATAAAACAAATCCACTTGGTTTTAATTTTTTTCAATCATATTATGCAAAATTGTTCATGGGCCTACATTATCTTTTAAGCGTTTATCATCTCTTGCAATTAGCTTTCTAAGCATATTATTAGAACATATTTTTTGTTGATTATTAAGTGCTTCTTTAATTTGTTATTCTGATATTTCATGAAATGGGCTATTTTTATGATGATCAGCACAGCGTCCCTTTCAAAATCATATCTCTTGTTGACAGATCTAAGTTAATACGTTTTACTCGTAGTTGCAGATTAACCGGAAAATTATGTGGAACATGAGAACCTTGCATTGTTATTTTTAAAGGCGTAGGAGAATTTAACCATGAGATTTGACATTCTAAGGTAACTCTAACATGACATAAATGCATATCATTTGCATTTTTTAAGTTTTCTTTGTATACTCTATTTTGACAATGTGACAAACATTCTTCTAAACCACCACACAATCTTTGACAATTATTTCCATCTCCAGAACAATATAATACCCAATACACACATTTTCTATTTCAAGTTGAATTTCTTGTAATAATTCTTGTCCTTTTGTAGTTAAAATTATTGTATCATCAATCCTATTTGTTGATTTTACAGCCCCTTGCTTAGTTTTCCATTCTAAAAAATCAATAGCATCTGTAGCACGTTTAATTTCTATTACACCTTCTTTTACAAGCTGTGGAGTTTTTTGTCGACTTTGATGTTTTAGACGGCACATTTTAAGCATAGGTATATTATTAAGATACCACTCTACAACTCGACCAAAAGGTAAATTTACTGTACCATTAGGATTATATTTGATATATTCTTGATAATTGGTTTCATTTATGTTATTCATTGTTTTTTTTAGAAAAGATGCGCCAGAAGACGTGTTAAAAATTTGATTTAAGAATTCTAGTTACACGAATCAAAAAAAGTGCAATTATCGTATCGAATCAAAAAAAGGATCCGTTTATCAAATCAAAAAAAAGTACAATTATCAAATCAAAAAAAGGGGCGTGATCACTGTATTACAAACTCCTGAATCAAAAAAGGACAGTTTGACTTTTAACAAAAAAAAAACTGGAATATCATGTTCTAATTTGTAAAAAAAATCGCTATGTTCTTAAAGTTTGCAATTGATGTAGACCATGAATTATAAATCAATCTGGTACCGCCGAAGAAATTTCATCAACAAATCCATTTTATTTCCCTGAATTATTTAATTCTAACGAAGGCGAATTACAAATTGCCAAAAGAAAAATCGAATTAAAAAAAATACATATTTAAGAACAGACTGCGATATTATAAATTAAATTCGTTTTTTTTTTTTTATTTAAAGTTGTTCAAATTTATTTGTAACATTTTTTCAAAATATATGTAGAGTCGTCATAAAAATTTACGTCTTTTGTTCGGCTATGTAATTTGTATTTCTGTCCCCGAGTTTTTACGGGATCAGGTAACCTGTTCAAACCCGGAAGATCCCACCCGGGATCAACCATGACGACCTCTTATATTACATAAAACGGCACATGACGATCTTAAATATGCAGTAAATTTATTTACGTAGTGAAATCGTTTATGTATATGTTATTTGGAGTCGACTTGTTAAATTAACAAATAATAATGTTTAAAAGCTTTGTATAATATTTTCATAGTTTTTTTTTATAATCCCCAGAGAATTTAGTGGAGTTTGAACATTGTATCAATATATTTCATTACAATTATTTCATCTCACCATCTATCAAATTTATCATCTAATCAAACGTTACAATTCACTCATAATCATAGAACAAAAGCAGTGAAATTAACATCTTAAGTTACTATCATAACTTTGAATTCTCACTATAATTATGAAAATATTACATTAACTTTCATGTTGATCTAATAGTTCAATTAATAAAGAATTTCTTTAACTTTCAAATATGAATCATATGTTGCATGATACTTCTAGAGGGTTATCAATTGGCTCGCTTTCATAATTCTTTGTAAGATTGTTTCTAATTTGTGAGAAGGTATATCGATATATCAAAAAATTAAGCACGTCTTTTAATATCCTGTATATGGGAGGTTTGCTATTAAAATATATGTTTCGTAACTTGATTTCAATAGCAAACATCCCATATCTTCTTGAATATAAATCCAAAATTTCCTTTCTAATGATGTGAAAATATGGTACAATTGAGCAGAACAGATTCAATCAGTATTTTAACATTCGTTTATATTCATGCCTATCGCGACCGATATTTTTATTAGATGTTAAATATTTGTTGTTAATGTAAAGCATTTTTTTTCAAAGCCAATTATCGGATGCCTTCGAAAGATACAATCTACATATGGGTGGTATGCTATTAAAATTGAGGTACGAGACATAGTAAATCATATGCGTACCTCAATTTTAATAGCACACCACCCATATGTAAGGGGTCTTTGTGGCGTAATAAATGATTAACCAAATGCGTTACATTTAGCCGTTCGGTCATGGTCAAATGGACAACATGCCCATGAAATCCGGGTAACCGCAAAAAGGTTGGTTTGAAATTCCAAGAAATGATCGACAATAATTTAAAATTAAGGGGTACCCTGTTTTCATGATGTAATGACTTTTATGAAAAAAAAACTATAAAAATGATGAATTTTTATCGTTTGAACCTCGAGCTAACAATGACTGAATTCATAATCGATCAATCATGTCTTCAACAAATCGAGATTTGAAAAATCATTTTGATTCAACTTTTGGTAAATGTAATGATTGTGGTAAGGAACGAAGTAGTCTAGGATGGTGTAAAGATTGTGAAATTAATGCTTTTAAAGAAAATTTTAGAAATTGGACTAGTAATAACCTTAATATTGATAATTTTATTAAACACACGCAATTAAATGCAGCTGGAAATGTTGACTATTTGGAATATATTGATTTTGAACAATTTGATCTTATAGAGAATATAAATAAAGGTGGAGCATTTAGTACAATTTATTCAGCAATTTGGATGAAAGGTCCTCGATGGATTTGGGATGAAGGTGCTGAACAATGGACACATAACGGACCAATTAAAGTTGCCCTTAAAAGGTTAAATAATTCACAAAATATGAGTGAAGAATATTTAAGACAAGTGGGTCATAATTTCAATAATTATTACCTTTTTTATTGGGGTTTGTATTTAATAAAATTTATATAAAGCTCTATAGATATCATCATGGTTTACAAAATGGAAGTGTTGCAGATTGTTTTGGAATAACTAAAGATCCTACTTCGAATTACATGTTTGTTATGAGATATTACAAGAACAATGATTTACATTCATATCTAGAGGAAGTACATGGAATACTTTCTTGGAGAGATATTGTTGAGATGCTTTGGGAAATAAGTGGAGGAATTAAACATATTCATGAATGTGAATTGATTCATGGAAATCTTCATGGAGGTAATCTATTAGTTGAGAATGAACTAGATTCAATTGACACTCACATTTCTGATGTGGGATTACATGGTCCAATTGACAAGAAAATTTCAAATGATATATATGGAGTTCTTCCTTATGTAGCTCCTGAAATCTTGAAAGGTAATCCACCAATGAAAGCCTCAGACATTTTTGGTTTTGGAATTATCATGTGGACGCTTTCTGCGGGTATTCGTCCATGGTGTAACAGACCACATGATCTTGAATTGGCTACTGAAATTTGCTTTGGACTTCGTCCTGAAATTATTGATGGAACGCCAAATGCTTACATTCAACTAATGACAAGATGTTGGCATCCTGATCCGTTAAAACGTCCTACGGCATCAGAATTGTATGATTTATTAGGAAGTTGGGTAATTTCTATCTGCGATGATCCAAATCCGTCGAAAATATCTCATCAATTTGATGTTGCTGAAGAGAAAAAATTTTTATATTCGGAACAAAATCAATTTCATCAGCAAACCCATCCGCAAGCTTTTTATACGAGTAGGCACTTGTACTTTCCTGAATTAATTGATATGTTTAATTCTAACTGAAAGTGATAACAACGGTACATGGGAGGTTTGCTATTAAAATCAAGTTTGATTTTAATAGCCAACAACCAAACCAATATCATAAGTTACCGAAAATATCAATTTTCCAGAAATGGTCGATTGAGACTGTTGCGATCTAGTTAATATATTTGGCGCAGTATCTAGAACAATTGAAATTTAATTAAAAACAAGTTAAATTATTTATAAAAGTATCATCGAACATTTTATTTAGTTTAATAAAAACATTCATATAATTTGTGAGTCATCTTCGATTTACTTTCATTATAATAGTTAAACAAAAAAAAATACCTTTTGAATACGGAAAATTTATTTCGCATGGCTTTTATCATTCATTTGTTGCATAAATGCATAAAACTTATATTGAAAATCAAGTGGTGAAATATTTTTGTTTTATTCTAAAAGATACAATGAATCAGTGTATTATTTTGTATGATTTGTTTTTAGTTGATTGATAATTTTCGTTATTTGGTGGAAATTTTGAATTTTATTTATTAATATTGAGTGCTTGACAAAATATAAAAGTCAGGAGTATCTAATAGTACGATTTAACGGCATTTAGCCAATTCAAGTTGCATAAGCAGAAACATATAAACAGGCTTAAAAACATATGAATGATGACTGAATACGCATTGTTTTTTCAAATAACAAGGGTCAACAGCCAGTTCGTCGCATTTAAAGGACCGGACAAAGAATCAATGCATGGGGTGGATTTGTGATCAGGGCAAAAACCAAGCCTGTACTGGTTTCGAGAGAATATGACCGGAAAGTTTATGTTGAAATCATAAAAAAAAAACTAGTCCAGTGGCATCGACAAAAATTTTGCGGTCACGTTACGTACTATTAGCAATTTAGGCCAAAATTCACGTGATCGCAAAATGTTTGTTGGTGCAACTGGAGCAGTTTGAGATTAAGAGAATGTTGCGGAACAATTGGCGGCTCAACAAGATAATTATCCTAAGCATACAAGCTGTGTAGCTAAGGGATTCTTGTTAGTGGATTGGCCCTCCAACAAGTCCTGAATAGAAAATTTATGGTTAATCGTTAAGAGGAACATAAAGATGCGGCAGTCACAAAATATTGGGGATTTGGAGAGCATTATAAAAAATTCTTCCCAATATTATTAAAAATTTAGTTGTGGTTTCGGGCGAAACCATTTTCTCCAATCTATTTGCCCAGCGAATTTTCAGTTTCGCCCTGTATGGGGTGGGGTGAGTGCTGAGAAAGGGACCAAATTGAAAATTTTTTCAAAAATTTATTTCTAAGTGAATTATTATTTGATTCAGAACTTTAATTATTTTAAAAAAAGTTTTTTACAATTTGGTCCCTTTTCCCAGCACTCATATGTCCAGAATTATCCGAAACCTTAATTGGGAAATACTTTGTAGATCAAACTAGTTTCGCCCAACATTACTCAAGTGTAAGCTTGTAATTGAGAATCGTATTCCCTATCAAAAATTTTTTTAATAAATCTTTTCACGTGATTTAGCGCAGTGTATTTTATTAAGTCTCACTTGATTTAGAAAGGATGCAAAGCGCTACGGAACAAACGAATTTGGGCTTTTTGATTGATTATTATTTAAAGATTCAATTTAGTATTTTAGAATAATATATATTAAATTAAAGAAATTGTAATAATAATAAAATGAATAATAAATATTATTATATTCAAATTTAGTATGGCAAATTTTTATATTATTAAATAAGTACCAATTTTACCAATTTTATAAATTTTTTCATAATTTTGGATGCTTTACAAGTTTTTGAATAATATAAAATTAATAATTATATGTAAAATACTAGGTAAAATTAAAATAAATAATGATCCAAGTAATTTTAATTAAAATAAAGAAATTTTATTAAGAAATATAAATTTTAAAAAATTATCTAATTAATATTATAATTTTTTTTTAAAAATAAAGATATTTTTATTTAAACTTTTATTTTTTTTTATTAAATAGTATATGTTTCTTAAATTTTAATATTATTCCAATTTATAATATAGATTTTTAAAATCAATCATTAATTAATTCATATTTCTTCTGACTTAAATATATGTAATATCAATTGAAATCATAATTAGATTATTTATGTTAAACATTATTATCTTAATCCTGACTCTATTAATTTAATTAATTTATATAGTAATCTCATTTCAAAAATGCTATAGGTGTTTTAGTAATATTATAAATTGTTAAATATTAAATAAGAAGCAAATAATGATATTTAAATGAATTAAATTAATTAAATTACACTATGATACTATTATTATTTAAGATAAGCTACTTAGGCTTATTTTTATGAGAATAATATAAGTAGTAAATTATATTTAATAATATTATAAACTTCTTTATAATTATTCTTATATTAATTGGTATCATAATATATTTAATATCTATAGGATAATATTTTATTTAACTTTTATTTTAATATAAATGTAAATACTTAAATAATCTATTAGATAATATGAGTTATATGATAAATAATGAAAAAAAAATATAGTAAAATACTGAATATTTGATATGTAATTATGCATAATCTTTCTTGAACATCAAAATTAACTAATTAATAATTATTTAATTATATTAATTAGTAATTTTTGTCAACTTCTTTTAATTTTTAATAAATTTATATATATATAGAATCTTAATTATAATTTATCATTAAATAATAATATAAAAATATATAATCAATTTAAAAAGATCTATAGTGATAATCTGAAAACTCAAATAAATATTAATACATTTATATGGTGAATTCATAATAGATGATTAGAGAATATGTTATATATGTTATATAATTTAAAGATACTTTAAATAAAATATGTATAATTTTTAGATATGATATATATATCATATTCTGATGACTAATATTAATAAGATTAATATAATAAATTTAAATATTTAAACCATCTTTTATTCTATTTATATAGATAATAATAGTTTTAAAAGCTGATTTTATTATAGCAATAGGTTTTGAAGTATATAATAATATCTTTAGATATGGATATATATTTAGAAAGTATGTATATTTAAAGAATAGCTAATAAAAAATAGATATTATTACATAAATATACATATATAATAAAATTTATTTTTTGAATATATTATTATGTTATATCATTGATTAATATAATATATTGTATTTTATTTTCAGAAATTCAAAAATTTAAAAAAATTAACTTATAATCAAACAGTTATTTCTAATTAATCATTATTATGTAATATTACATATATACATTTATAAAGAGTATTTTAATATATTTAGGATTTAAAATTACTTATATATGCAAAGCATAAAGAATATACATTTAGCTTTAGATTTTAAACTTAATACTAAACTAGTATATATATTTATAAAAAATGCACTTATATAGATATTACTGTAATTAATTTTGTTTAGTAATACTTATGTTATTAAAAGCTAATATATATGTAAACTTAAAGTTAGTTAAATATATTATATAGAAGGTTTGTTAGAAAAATAAGCTCTGAGAATTTTAATTTTATTATATTTTATTTTTTTGATAATATTAGATTAAAATGTAATAAAAATTAAAATTTTAATAAAAAATACTTAAAGCCTATTTTTTTTAGCAAAGCTCTCATATTATATTCAAAAATATAAATAAAGTATTAATTTTTCTTCTAATTACAATTTTTATAAAATTAATAATTATACTAATTTTGTAATTATATTATTTGAAGACAACAAATCATCAAAATTTTTCTTATTTGATATTTTTAAACTTAAAAAAAATATATATGAATTTGTTTATAATTATAATCTTAATTTAGCTATTATATTATATAAAAGTTAAGAATTAACTTTAATAAAAGTATTATAAATCTCGTAAAAAAATATATATACTTTTGATCTCTTATTTATTATAATATCTTAAGTCAATATTTTTAAAATATTCTTTTCAATCTATTTTTACTTAAAAGTTTTCAATAAATTAGAAATTAAAAGATATTACAAGAAAAAAAAAACTGGTAATAACTCAAATTTTAAGCCTGTTTATTATAATATAGGTGGTATGCTATTAAAATTAAAGTACGAGACATAATAAATCATATGATCTGTACCTTAATTTTAATAAATCACCACTTATATATAACTATTTATTTTAATTAACATTATCGAAATTGCTAAAATATCTCACTAAATCTATTTAAAATTAATTTTAAAAAAATTTTTAAAAAAAATGATTATTAGGATTTTATAATAAAAAAGTTCAAATGAGTATAAATAATTGTTTGATTATTTTATTTTATTATATTATTATAAAACAATTATAATAAATATTTAAATATAATTAATATATAGGAATTTATTAATAAATTTTATATAAATTTTATAAATCTTATTATTAAAATTATTAAATTATATAAAAAGTCTTTAAAATATATTAGTTATAATAAATACTTATTTATTAATATTATTTTAATATTATTTTAGTAAATAAATAGTTATATTTATAGAATTTTTTATTTAGATAATAAAGTAATAAACATTAAATATAGTATTCATTTAAATTATGAATTATAAAAATAAAAATAGTTATAAAATATAATGATATTAAATAATATTTTTTTCATATTATTTATAATATTTAATTCATCTTTTTTGATCATATATCAAAAAATAAATCACATATTCTTATATTAAAATAATTAAATTAAAGGTTATAATTTTATTAATTAAATAAATAAAGTTTGCAGTTTTATTAAAAAAAAATAATTTTAATTATAAATTATATTGTATTATTAATATAAATTTATTTCTTTAATATTTTATAAAAAATAAATAAAAGCAAAGAAATAAAGAATAAATATATTTTAGTTTAAATAATTATTTTATAATAAAAAATTATATAAACATTTTGTATTATAAAAGAAAAAAAACTTTAAAATATATCTTTTTAAAGTTAATATTAAATTTGGATTTATTTTACTAAAAAAAAATATTTAAGCTTATAAAGT